CCCCTTCATGCTCTAACCTTAATAATAACCCAACCTTGATTCTAACATCATACTTCTCAGTTCTTTTCATTCCCTAGCGAAGCTAAGTGCAGAGGAAACAGCACTGTGTGCTCTAGAAAATGCCCTGAGCCCTGCCCATTGGGGGGCTAGAGTCCCCACTTGGACAGAAGCTGCCTCTCTGCAATTTGGCGTGCTCACGAATAGGAGATGTGCTTCTTTCCCTTGAAGTTGAATGAACACAAGGGCATCGAGAACACATAAACAATGGTCCCTTATGGGAACCATGCCTAGGAGAAAGCATCCACGAAATGCAAAAATCTAGGTGTGAGCACAGGTTCTGTGGATTAACTTTCTCCAGAGGCACCTCTGTGATGACCAGGAGCCACTACTCTTCCTTTAAAATCACACACCACCGTAGCTTTTCCACAAAGGTGGCCCCTCCACTCCTGGAGAGAGCATGCTATCAATATGTAAAAAGGTATTACCCTCAAATGTGTGCATTCTTTTGCTGGGACATAAACCCTGCCGGAAGATTTTCTTCATGAAAATCCAAGGAACATTTCTCAGTTCAATGACCCTAAGCAATGATTTTGAATTACCTCCACTCATGAAATAGAAGGAGAGCATTTTTCTCCCCAGTATCTACACATGGTGGCTGAGGGAAGTACAGGATCCAATGTAAGAAGATTCAAGCTTTAGACTCTGCCTTGAACATTCTATCAAGGTCCCCAAGTCTGTGATGGTGCAATCTGGACTGTATTCTCTCTCGCAGGGGTTCATGGGATTGTCTCACAGTGAACATGACTGCACTGTGCAACAAAGGATTTTTAAAGAACAACGAGAAAAATATGTAAATGAGATGCTGCTGCACACGTACTCCTAATTTTGAGTTTGCCATGAAACTGACAGAGGAGTCTTGTGTTCTTCCAACTCAGGGGCAAATAAGCCAAAAAAAATTCTTCCAAGGTTTGCTCTACTCTGAGATACATAAAGGGTAGAGATGAGCAGTAAAGAGGAAAATACATACAGAAGCTAGTAACGGGAGACATGTTGCTTACAAAAGGAAACAGAAGGAAGGTGTACCTAGGGTTAAAGCAATGGAATGGAGAGAAAATGTCTGTGTCTGTTTTTAATGAGAGTTGAGTCGTTTTTTCTAGCAAATCTAGAATGATGACTGCATACAAACCAGGTAGGAATGAAAGGGTAGTTGTAGAGGCCCCCAGGCGATTAAAGTACATTCAGGAAAGGGCTGACGTACATTTGTGGTATGGTGGGCGAATACCCAGTCTGACACGGAGTCAGGAGAAGAATTGCCCAGTGCTCCCTACTGGGCTGGGGAAGGCAGAGATAGGCTGCACTTTAGAATGGCTCCTGACATATAGGGAAGGATGTGTGGGGGGTGAGGATGTAGAATGTTCTGTAATAATCTACACATCCATAGGTTACCACAGCTGTCTAAAAGGAGCATTTAGGAAGTAAGGTACTTGGAGATGAATTTTCTGTGAGCCCTGTTGGCATTCACAGAAGAGTGGACTCTGGGAACCAAGCCTGAGGAAAGAGAAGAAAAATATCTGGGGTTTCCCAGTCCCTAATGAATCTTTGCAGTTGTACATTCACAGAAACCTGGAGTTTTGTCTGAATTTGCCAGGATTTTCCTTACGTTTCAGATGTTATCCATGGAAAATGCTTGTATTCGTGTTATCTTCAAAGATCTTCGATAGCAATACCTTGAACTTAGTATATCCTTAATGAATAATTACTGAGTGAATGAATCAACCATGTTCCCAAATGAGGAATGTGTCTTACATTAATTAAAATAGGAGTCAATAATGTGCACAATACAGCCTATATTTTCTTTATTACTGCCATTTGGCAAATTGAGGACACGCTCTAGCAATTCAAATCTCCCTCTGAGGTAAGTTTAGTAGCTATCATGATAGATTTTGGCAGCTCTCTCCTGGGGTCCCCAAGGCTCACTACACATTTTAGGAGGACTCCGGACATTATCCTAGCGGCCGGTGAGATAACCCACTTCCAGGTGTGGGAGAAGTGTGGCCCTGCCTGTTGTAACCAGCAAATTCTGTACTGAAGTCTCAAATGAGTGCTGACGGCTTGAGGGACCGAGAGCATGCAGTCTGGGTCCTCTTTACTTGGTTCAAACTCTGGGTTTTTATTCCAGAGTTGGAGGAAATGTTTTTTCACTGCCTTGTATGCTTGAGAAGAAATAAATCTCAAGTGGAAGGGGAGGCTGGGCGGAGGCTGGGGGAGACTGAGAGACATGGGTGGGAGGGGAGAGGTGAGGGAGAGCAGGCAGGGGCTGAGGGTCTCTGAGTAGAAGCCCATAGCGAGAACTTAGCTGAAAGGGGAACACTGGACCTTGGGGAAGTTAGGCAACTCACTAGTTACCTGATAATGACAAAAGCCTTAGGATCGCAGGCTGCTGACCCTGAATGGAAAAGGCAGCATGGTGCTAACTCAGTGCTAAGGCAGGAGTACAGGTCTTGGAGAGGCAGGCCCGCAAGCTTCTGGGATCTGCACTGACCAATCATTTTCAGTGATTCCCTCGATAGCATAGTACCTACTTGGACCTTCCCCAACTCCAGCCCATCAAGTCATCCATTCTGGCTGCTCTGGAGCTCGTGGGCATGACTATACCTGCAAAGTCATGTCTTCAGAAAGGGCTTTTAACTCTTCCTAAAAACATTTTTATATGTCCCCTTCTTGTTTTCATTTTCCATTGCATTTTTCTTCTTTTTCCCAGGAGACAAACTCATATTCACGGATGATAACTCTCTGGCAGCTCCCATTAGTCGAGCGCCTTTATGTGCGTATGTTATACAAACCTTATGTTTAATCATCTCAGTAACCCACAAAATCCCCACTTTACAGACAAGCGCTAAGCGAGGTCACTCAACGTGTGTTCTGGCCACTACGTCAGGCAGCTTCTTGATACAGAATGCTGTACGGTGCAAAACATGCTTTCACATGCTTTATGTGGTTCTACAACCTGTGAATTAAGAGTTCTTTTGCCTCTGTTTTACAGAAGGTACCAATGAAATGTAGACAGGTTATGGGACCTGCCCACATCACGTCTTTCACAGCAGCTAAGCTAGGATGCAAACTTGTGTCCTGCTCTTCTATAGCTCATGCTTCTCTAATGGTATAGTAGAAACATCTGAAGCTCCCAGATATAAACATCCTCGAATTTCTTTATATCCACCTTCGAATTTATCTGTTTTTCTTTTTACGTCTCCTCTATGTCAGGGAGAAGCTGGTTCTATTCTATGTTCTTAAAGGTTCTCTCAGTTGCTCATGAGTGGCTTTATCTTGTTCCATTTCTTCACCTTTCACGTCTCAAATCTTTCTCTGAACTCCAATTGCTGTTTCTAATCACCAAGAAAGGGCACATTTTTCTTGGCAACGTACCTATATATCTCATACACTGTTCAGCAATCTGCAACTAAGTATGTTTGCTCTGTTTTTCTGCTCACTCCACGTGCTTCCCTATTTCCATACTTCTGCTTAAATGGATTTGAAATGTTGTCCTTTTCTTTACTTGCAGAAATTCTATTCCTTCTTTAAGAATAAGCTCAAATGTTGTACGTGCTATGACTATTTCCCCAGTTACTCCAGTTAGAGTTAATGGTAAATTCTCTGTGTTCCCAAAGCACTTTGCTTACGAGGAAAACACATCACATACCACATGAGAAATTTATTTATCTCCATTTCTTTCAACTTATGGGTGTCAGCACAATAGAGACACGAAGAGAACTTTATTTACCTCTACACACTTGGAAGCAATAAGTATGGCCCTTGACTAAGTGTTTGTTGGATGGATGGATGGATGGATGGATGGATGAACAGTAAGTGATTCAGTTACTACTCCGATTTTTCAACATGTCCCAAGGAGGGCATGATCTGATTTCGAGGATTCCTCCCCTCATTTTAAATCTCCACTCTTATCCTGGGAACTTTTCTTGCCTTTTTTGTGAAAATACTGTTTTAAATTTTAAAAAATGACTTGCTGTATGAAATCAGGGAAAAGGAGAGGGACTGACATATCATTTTTCTTGTAAAAGTAAATATCACACTGCCACCCAGGTGATCAATGTTGCAGAAAGGCAGCCAAAAAAATTAAAATTTATTTGTAAGTTAAAAAAATAAGATAGTGGGAATTGATCTTATATTAATAAATTCTATGTTCACATATAACATAATAGCAAACTTCATTAGATTGGAATAATGAGTTTGGGGAGGTAGGGAGGAAAAGGGAGAAGCTAGGCTGAATTATGGAAGTCAGAATTTATTGTAAGCAATGCGGTTTTATTACTTTCAATACTGTAACCTGCCAATAAAGTCTGTCTAAGGAGGCATCTACTTAATGACGTGGATCCTTACTTTATAGCTGAATCCTTCTGCCTAAAGACCATTGTGTATGCAAAAGCCATGAAAACAATTGTTCTCTTTAAATAAGTTACAGGTGTTCTCTCTATTTGTCTTATCAAATCCAGTCCTTGCAGAAAACTCAAAGGTAAGTTTCATCTCAGTTTGGGTCAAATTGTCAAAAACTGTGTATTAGCAATATCTGAATTAATGAGGCTTTGGTGTATTCATAGAGGAAGGCCATTTCTCGAGAATACAATACAATGTCTCAGGGAAGTGTTAAATGCTTTAAAAATAAAAACAGGAAAAATGCAAACCTTTTAAAATAAGATGAGCATTAACTTCATTAAGCTAAATGTTAACTGAAATCTATCTTCTGAAAGTTTAGTTTCCTTTGTAAATTCCCCAAGGACAAGGATCATGGTTTACTTGCTTCTCCTCTCTACCTTCCAAGACTATACACCCCAACAATCGCACCTAGGCTTTGCTTCCTGGTGACAGGTTTCACTGTAAAAACAGGTGTTTAAAAGTGACATGATGAGGTTTTCAGATATTCTTGTCATTGCTCTGCTCATCTATAGTTACCCGAGACTCAAATATAAAGAAAGTTTACTCACTGATTCTGGGTATAGGCTGCGGGTAATTTACCGGCTCCCATCCTGGAAAAGAGAGAGGCAATTCATTCTGAGCTGTCACCACAGAGCTGGATGCACGGTCAAACCCACAAGCCGTGAGATCATGACCTGAGCCGAAGTCAGATGCTCAAATGACTGAGCCACCCAGTATGTTTAAAACACCCCGTATATTTAAAAACTTTCTACATAAAGATGCATCAATGCCTCTACTATTTTATTTCTAGCAAAGAAAATCATGCAGTGTGGGGAGGAAGGGTCATGAAATAGAATATGTCACTCTTGTGTTTCTGGGCTACTGAAGAGGTGACAGGCTTGGTGTCACTCATCAGGAAAGTAGGCATTACCTTCAAGCTTTGCACAGAGAAGACTGAGTCTTGTGCCTGTTTCCTCTGCATTAGAGAAATAGAGCTGGGGGACTGGTGGGGTAGAGGGAGTAGGAATATGTTCACTGAAGGGAAGAAAATGTCCCTGGATTCTTTGTGTCCTTGGATTCTTTGTGTCAGTGTGTTAATATCCAATTATATTTCCTGCTTAGAATCTTTGTATAAATCTTTGTGTATATACAATTATATTTTCTGCTTAGATTATTTGAGTACTTGGGACAGATCTCTCTGCATAAAATTGCTATTCAGAATAGATATGCCATATGTATCTCCTGGCGTGGAATACTCATGGCTCACTGTTGGATACCTTGATCTATGAAGCTTGGAAGGGTAAATGAACTAAAATCTAGGATGAAAGAAAAAAGGCTCTTTGAGGGAAGTGATCCCATGGATATTAAATCATCCAGAACTAATGTTCGTTTATTCTGTAGTAAAGAGCTCTAAGAAAGAAATCTTTAGCTTTCCTTGAGCCAATGATCTTTCATCCTGATAATCAAGAAGGACCTCTTTCTACTAGATGAAGTTGCTAAATGTAACATAGCAAATTCCTTCCGGCTTAGTCATCTCTGGGAGAGGAGAGCTTCAACTCATTCAGAGAACAATTTCAGGGAGCTGCAAGATGGTAGTAATATGACTATTTAGATTTCTTCTTTCTAGATTACAGTTATAATTCTTCCCTTAAAAACCATATTATAAATATATAATATACAGTATATAGTATATACTGCATACTATAACATATTTTATGTAATATATATTTTAATATAATAACCTATTACATGCTAAACTAAATATATTATATAATGTATTGCATGCTAAACTGCATATTAATACATATCTTATATTAAATACATGTATATGTAATGTTTTGTTCTCTGTATGCTGTAAAATATCCCTTTCAAAGTATGTTGTTAAAAATTTGAACAAGTACTTAGGAATGGTGAGGCTAAACAATGATAGGAATAAGTCTGTTTGCTATCCTGTGCTACTTAAAAAACTGCGATCAGTGTAACTCAGTTATAATATTCATTTTTTAACCCTAATTGAAACAAAGATCCTATTGGCCTTTGCCTTTTTAATCAATTTTTCACTGAATTTCATTTATGCTAAGACGAACAGTTTATACTTCTGTCAGTTAAATGCTATTCTGCCTCTAGGATGATTTAAACGATACATCTAAGGGCATTCTGACTTGTATTGTCATGAGTTTCCTGGTGTAAAGTGTCAGCAGCTCCACTTGATTTAGTGATTTCTGCATTTTGGATGAAGGCCTTTATAAGTCATTTGTAGAGCTCATCAATAAGTTATAGGTCCTACGCTACAACTGATCCCCATGGGTTGGAACCTGATATGTAATCCACTGCTTCAACCCACTTTGATGTAACTGCAACTCTATATTTACCTGTTCACCCATGTAACAGTAGCATGATTAAGATCACACCCTTGTGGCTTGGTGATAAGAATATTGTTTAGGCTAGAACCCCAAATCTTCCTCCATAGAAAACTGATTTTATTCAGCATATTTTCATTGTTTATATAAATCTGTCACATAACTGTGGGAGGAAATTAAATTGCTGTGGAAAAGATGGCTATTCAAAAAGTGAAATCTGGCTGCTCCTTTGTCTCTTATGATATTCTGGTAAGTTGCTTATTGATTGCATGAGGAATTGTTCTCATCAGGTATTGCTTTTAAGTTCTCTGGCTTATAATGCTGAAGTGGTTTCCTTAAAAAATGTGAACCTGACAGGCTCTTTTCCCCATGTCCACGATGACTCAAATATAAAGGCTGTACAAGGTCATCTGCCAATTTCTTTTATTCTTTTTTTTTTTACTTACTGTGGTAGGAAACAGACAACACAAGATCTATCCTCTTAACAAATGTTAAACTGTACAGTATAGTATTGTTTACTATAAAGCACAATGTAGTATAGCAGACCTCTAGAACTTACTTGTTCATCCTGCACGACTGAAACTCTATACCCATGGAACACCACACCCCGATGCCCCTCTCCCCAGCCCCAGGAAACCTCTGTCTTCCAATTTCTAGGTTTCAGGAAACCTGACATTAGGGCATAAAAATGAAATGCAGTCAGGGATTGGATACTCCTCCCTCATCTAGAGAGGCTCTTCACACATCACAGACTGAAGTAGATTAATTAGATAAGCACACGTCTTGTACGTGTTATAGTAAATTTGCTAAACACAGGGCGGATCCAGTCTTACTCCTCTTTATAACTTCCCTGACCCTAGTTTTGCGCCCTGTATAAATATGTATTGAATTAAATTAATTTTAAAAATTTCTTTTCCAGGTAAAAATATCTTTTCCCAGTAACCATTTCTTTTCTGAGAAAAAGAATGGAAAGTACGTGCCGCCTATTTTTAAGTAAATGAATTGTCTCATTAAGAAAAGCACCCTCCTTCATGACTCAGTAAGAGTAATGGTATGTATCACTCTTAAAGGCTTTGACTGTATCTTCTAAATCATTGCTATTCCTATATATTTTTATAATGTAACCTAGGATGTTGGGTTCAGTTCATACAATCAACATAGACTAACTTCCTCGCTACATGATCATATATTAAATAACCATGAATATCCATTTCTGTGGATGACTTTAAATCTCAGCATTCAGGCTTGTTTCACATAACAGAAATTAACTGGGTTTTGACCAGAGCCCCTAAGATTAATGTTAACATCCAGTGTACATGTTCTTACATTGTGCTTATGAGGTTGATTTCGATATTAAAGGCTTAGTTTAGTGGTATAGACAACCTAATGAAACAGGATCTTTCCCTTCTCCACAGGACTTTCTTCCGAGTCATTTTTGGTTTGGGTAGTAAAGCACGTTTCACCTGTTGAGACTTGGCATAAGAACCATACTAAGTGAGTAGGTCTACAGCTTTGATGGGAAATCAATTAAAAAAAAATAGCGTTTCACTGATCCTTTTCCTCAGGGTTGGAGAGCTCCATGCATCATAAATAGCACACTGAGTCAGACAGAGCTCACATTCAAGTGAGAGAACACAAATACGACCACAATGCACTTTTCTCAAAGTAATTCCTCTGGCCACAGTGAGAAACTAATCATGTTGTTTATCATCATCCTTACCTAGGAGAGAATACAGAGAGACAGGAAAAGGTTGGACAGATTCCTAAGATCATGTGGCAATTTGTTGTTGAAACTGAAATAGGGTTACATTTCATGAATGAATGGTTTTTCCCCCTCCAGCCAAACCTTTCAGGAATGTGATTATCAATACCCTCAATTTTACATACTGGTATTCTGATTTTAAAAAAATGGTCACAGTGAAGTTTAGGTCCTCTGCTGTCTCATATTTGGTTGCTGAATTTAAAAGTTTATTCCAAGGGCACCTGGATGGCTCAGTAGGTTAAGCGTATGACTTTGGCTTGGGTCATGATCTCACAGCTTGTGAGTCTGAACCTTGTGTAGGGCTCTGAATTGACAGCTCAGAGCCTGGAGCCTGCTTCATCTGTGTCTCCCTCTCTCTCTCTCTGCCCTTCCCCTGCTCACGCTGTGTCTCTCTCTCCTTCAAAAATAAATAAACATTAAAAAATGTTTTAAGTTTATTCCAATATTTTCTTTTGAAATGTTAATTTGGTCTAACCTTACCTTCTTTCCTGTTTTCTACTAAAATTACGTGGATGCACGATTATTAAGTTAATAATAACCACAATAACATCTAACATGTAATCCTTTTAGAATTGAATTTTTTCTGAATATGTTACCATTATATCTTCACACCTTAATCTATAGCATTTTATTTTTAATAACTCAGCATTATTGAGTCTTTCTAAAGCATTTTTATAGAAATAGCTATTTTTTATGCACCCATATGTCATTGGTTTACATAATTTGTAACTGAATGAATAATTATATGAACAAGTTTAATTCGCACAGCAGGTTTGGGAACAAACACAACTGGCACATGGTCCACATATATCCCCACAGGTGGGGTCAAAAGTTTACAGGTAAACTAGACAGATAACAGGTGGGGCTCCTCTGTTAGGCTGGTTATGAGAATCCTTCAGTAGGTTACATCTAGGAAAGGGAGAGCATTGCTTCACTAGGCAAATCATTTAACAGAGGGTTAGTTAAAACAAACAAACTTCTATTGTATTTTATACTTTGTGTATGTATTACTTTGATAAATATATAAACACATATATGTTTTTAAATGGAGAGAGAAGGAGAAGGAGACAATAAGTTTAGGCATCTTGCCCCAGATTGTAAAACTAGAGGTAGAACAAGGATTTGGCTCCAGAATTCTGTCTCCAAGTCCACCGTTCCAGTATTCTTTCCTTCTGTCCCATGAACCCTAGGGTAGAGAAGCCTGTGGGGGCTGGGGAGACTGCCTCCAACCAGGAAGGGGGCTCGAGATAGATCACAAGAGTCATCAAGAAAGCACAGTAAAGAAGAAAGAAGAAAGAAAGTGAGAAGATAGTCTTAGGAATTGGCAACCAAGAACCCTGCCATTAAGTTCACCCAGGTATTTCCTGACTTTAGGCATCACTGGTTCAAAACAAAAGGGGTTTCAGCAAACACATTTGGTCAACTGACACTGCCAACTATTTTCAGAACCAGTTTTTGCAACTCTGGAATGGAAGGAACTCTGAAAGGG